CCAGATTGGTAAGGTACAGTTAAAATCAGTAAGTTATTGAATGGGAAGATCAAGCCTTTAAGTCAGTGTTTGGACACCATTTAGCTAAGTTTTTTGAACATAATTTGATGCTTATTCTGAAATTCTTTGCTCATATCTCATTGATTAAAAAAAATTGTTTTTTGGTACCCATGATTGAACCCAGGGTGCTTAACCAATGAACCACATCCCAGCCCTTTTTATTTTTTGAAACAAGGTTTTGATAAATTGCATAAAGCCTTGCTTAGTTGCTGAGGCTTACTTTGCTCTTATGATCCTCCTGCCTCACGCTCCAAAGTCGCTGGGATTAGAGGTGTGCACCACCATACCTGCCTTATATCTCATTGAATCTTGATACAAGTTTTTTTGTTTGTTTGTTTTTGCTTTTGTTTTGAATAGGCAAAGCCTAAATAGCCTCTAGCTAGTGTTGGCCATGCCATCTCTTAGAATTACAGGACTGCCAAATGTTAGAACCAGGTTTTTTGGTTTTTTTTTCCAATGGTGCTGGTGATTGAATCCAGGGTCTCAGGCCTAGAGTACATGCTAGGTAGGCAAGCACTCCTAACCACTGAGCTACTGCTCTGTTCCAGAACTAGGCCTTTTAACAAACCCTGGTTTACTGGAATATCGTGGAGAGGTGGGAAAGCCACATTAAGCATGGAGTTTTCCTTGTGAAGAAAGAATGGGAAAACGAAACTCTGTGTTGAGTAGTAGATCCAACGCTATTCTTAGTCTCTTGAGTCTCACCTACAACTAGCCTTAAACTAGTGAAGTCTGTAAATTTAATTTTTCAATTTTTCCTGTTTTAAGAAAAACTTGCTCTTTACAAAATGTTTGACATTTTTTAAAGATATAGAATGATCTTACCACGGCTTGTATTATATATATTTGGTAAGTAAAATGTATGAGGATATCTCATTGCATATAAAGTTCACCCCTTGTAACCTTATAGTGATACAAAAACTTGTGAGCCTCTGTGTGCCAAGCCTTGTGTTGAATACTTACATGAGTCTAGTTTGTCCCTGATAGGTAAAGACTTATTTTAGAGCTGAGGAAAGTAGAATTTAGAAAAGTTGCTCAAGGTTAGACTGCTGTTTTCAGAGTTGGAATCCTAGCTAAGGTCTTGCTTTTTCTCCAGAGTCCATGTGCTTAGCAGTTGTGCTTTGAGAATTGAAAATGAAAGAGTGAGGAGCAAAAAGCCTGAATATTTTATATAGTTTTCATACCCCTCTTCTTCCACCAACCTTTCTGAAATCCTTCACTGATCAGCCCAACTCCAAGTGAATAAAAAAACAACCAAAAAACCTTTGGGTTTTTGGGTGTGTGTGTAGAATTGCAAGGTATTTATAAATCACAAATCTTAATTCTCTAGTCCTCTAAGTTTTCTATTGCTGCTATGACAAATTACCATAAAGCCACACAAATTTATTATTTCATGGTTCTATAGATGAGTCTGATCTGAGTCAAGTCAGGAAGTCATCAGGGTGCATTTCTTTTCTTTTGTGGACCATTGTTCTATCCAGACTTGCTAATTATAGCTTAGTTGTTGATGAACTAATGTTAGATTTTTGGAGTTAAGGAATATCTAAGGCCATAATAAATAATAGCAACAATAGAGAAGAAAATGGAGTGGTGTTAAGCTGCTTGAGTATTGCAAATGTTTTTATACTCGTGTACCATGTAAATAACTATCCTGTGTTATAAGACTGCTTTTAATAGGTAAGTATACATTTGTCTCCTAAGTTTTTAATAGTAGCTGTGTAAAGTATATCAGGTAAGTTGAATTCATTATGAGAGCTTGATAATGAACTCAGTAAAAACAATTTTACTTAATTTTAACATTTGAATGTGCCACTTGTACTATTCCCATCTCAGATTCCTCTAAAACATTGGTCAGGTTACCAGTTACTAGGTATTTACAAAGTACAATAAACAATATTTAAAAATAAAAAATAATAAGCCATATTTAGTTTGTGTCTCCCAAAACAAATCACAAGTAAAATTGGTGCTGCTTTTTAAAATTTTTTATTATTGCATTATACTTATACATAATATTGGGGTTCATTTTGGTTCTGTTTTTTAAAAAGTTCCAAGCACTCTGATTCTTTAATTGCTATTTCATAAAGCATTTTAGTAATTCATGTATAGAGCAAGAAGGTATTAGGGTGAGTTGAGGACAAGTGTAACAAGTCAACAGCTAGAAAAAAGTTGTCTTAAACACTCAAATCCACTCTTAAGTTGAATCTTAATAGTTAACAGCCATTGAGAGAAATGCTAGCATATGCAATTAATTCAATATAACTAGGCAATAAATTCAATATAACTCCAAATATCTCTAAAATACCTCTACCTCTAGGAAATAATTCACTGTGTATACATATATATGTGTATCATTCCAAGTTGTCTTTTAAGAATAATTTTAAAAGAAATTTTTTTCCAAGTAGGGGTATTTTTCTTTTCCAGGAATTTGTTGTTTGACTTTGCTTTATAAGTTTGTATTCATCATTTTGTTTCAGAAACATCAGAACGTTTAAAATGAAATTATCTTAAAGATCTTTTTGTGTCAGTCACTTTTATTTTCTGCTGAAAAAGCACTTATCAGAGGAAATCATCAATACCATCACCAGTAAAATAGCAAAAACAGGAATGTTGATTATTGACCATATGAAGGGTTTAAGACGGAAAAAAAAGTTTTCACCAAGTCATTCTGACTTACCAGATAATCTCTAGGAAATATTTTCCAATTCTTAAATATTTACTATGTATCTATTTGGTATGCATTTGCGTAGTTATTGGAATTCAATGAGCAACATGGAAAGGGTCCAACTTTATTGAGCTTGCTGTATAGTATAGAAGATAAGTGATAACATCTGAATGCAAAATTGAAGCTGCAAGAAGAAATTCCAGATTTTTGATTTGAAAAACTTGTAGTTTATTGAGAATACTGAAGCTTTTGTTTATATGGGTTATATTGTTATTTAATTTATTAGAAATTAAACTGATAACTTCAATATTTTAAACTTAATAATCCCATTGTGTTATATATTTGTATGAAAAATAACTTCCAGACTAACTCAGTTTAGTGAGAAGAGTGTCATTGTTTTCATTTTTGCATATTTGCCTTAAGACAACTGGATTATGTTATCTGCTTCTACATTCGGTGTTTGCAATATGGCATTTTGTTTGAGTATATGAAGAAAATATGGCTTCACATAGAAGACATTGGACCATACTTGGAAGGATTGCTTTAAAGAAAGATTACACATGGCTTGATATGATGGGAGTGAGATTTGGATGAAAATTTCCAGGAAGCTATTTTAACTGTCCATAGAACAGCTTTCTTGCTTCACATGTAGGATGTGTATTTTGAAAGGTTTGACTACGAGCTTCCAAAAAGTTTTTTTCAGAATATTTATCCTCATGATCTCAGTATCTCCAAAGTTCATTGCAATGGTGTGCACCAAAGCAAGTTTAGGTCAGAGGTTTCCTTCAAATATTGGAGGAGTTATCATGAGTGGCCTCTGTTTAAAAAAAAAAAAACAAAAAAAACTTTGAATCATTGTGCAGACATTCTGCAAGTCTGCATTACAATATATTCTACTTTTCACACATCTTAGTGTTAATAGGAACAATATGTGTAGAAACACTTTGTAATACTGAAGTTCTTAATTTTGCTCCTTGGTCCTTCCAGGAATTCCTATAGATGAGAGTGACCCAAGTAACAAGACAAAACAAAAAGCAAATCTGTAAAAATTCTTTAAATGATAAATTAATTACTTAGTCCATTGAATATGCTGAAGTATGCATAGATATTAACTACACACTCATCATTCTTTATCTGTGTAATGTTTTCTCCACTTACTTGAATGATAATTCCAATTTTCCTTTTAAACTTTACATGCTCTTCCCCATCCTTGTACCTTCTCTATAACCTCTTCCACATGTTGATGCTCCAAGGCAGGTCTGAATGCAGTCATTTGTTTTGTTCTTGCCACAATTGTCATCCGATATTAATTGCTGAAAATGCTAAGTAACAACAGTAATAACTACTTTCTGGTATGCACTGATGGCATGGGAGTGGAAGGTTGTGGAAATGCTGTTCCCAATTATATCAGTGTCTTGTGTTTGAGCAAAATATTTCTCAAGCTTTCGATGGTATGTATTATTAGGATAATAGGATAAAGTAATTTTCAGTGACATTCAGAACGTTTTATGGCCAGTTTTGAGGTTTTAGAATATAAAAACATGTAGTTTAAGTTTGATCAGTTAAATAGGCAGATGGTTAAAAACTCAAGTAGTTGTTCAAGATTTATAAACAACCCTCAGCACTACTCTAGAGGCAACCACTTTAAATTCTTAAGATTGCCTTCATGCTTATATGTGACATGAATATGCCATTTTAAAAATTACAAATACTGTTATGTCTCAGTGTCTTAGCATAAAGACTTAAGCTCTTACCAACCCACTCTTCCGTACTCTCCCCATTCCTTCCCCATTCCTATGTGTTTTAAATTCATATTCAGGTTCATTGTTGCAATTACATAAAGATTTATGACTGTGAGCCAAGTAGTAGAATGTGGTTATATTTTGTATAATTTTTGTTAACAACTTTTTCTTAATTCATTTCTAAATTTTATTTAAGAAAAATTCTGAATGAACTAAAGAAGTTTAAACTTAAAGAATCAACACATTTGTAGATACTTAGATGTAGGAAAAGTAACAATGTATAATTTACAAATTTACCAAGAAGATGTATTAGGACTTACTTAGACTGCTTATTTTTTTTTTTATTATTTTTTTAATTATTCATGACAGCAGAATGCATTTGACACATTGTACACAAATGGAACACAAATTCTCATTTCTCTGGTTGTACATAGTGCACAGTCACATCAGTAGTATAATCTTACATATATATATAAGGTGATAATATCTAATTCTACTGTCCTTCCCATGCCCACAAACCCACCCCTCCTCCCCTCACTCCCATCTGTAGACTGCTTATTAGTGGTAACATTTTCATTTATTCATTAACAATGTGACAGAAAGGACTATCAAAATAACTGCATTTACACATATTTTGTATATTAAAATGCCTAATATTATATACCTAATTTTGTTCATCTCCATTATAAACATTGTATCCCTCAGATTTAATTAAGACAATTTTTTGTGGATCCTGAAAAAATACAACATCTTTAATTTTGCCAATGAAGTCTCTCTTAAAAATCTCCTGAGTAATAACATTTACCTTTCGACCATATTCAAAGCCTCCGAAATAGGAGATACCATTGTAGTTTAGGGCAACAAACTTTTTGTGTGGATCAATGTCCTCAGAAATGATTAGACTGTTATCTAGGTAAGCTTTAATAAGAGTTTGATTTTGAATTATAAGTATATGGTGCCATTTGTTGCAACAGAATGTGGCTTTGGTATAGCTCATGGATACAGAGACTCTTTCTCCTAGGTTAACTGCTATTTTCAAGGCTTTATTATAAAGACCAATAGCTAGAAAGTCATTGTCTTCGTTTTGAGCTTTTCCCATCCATATAATTAAGCCTTCTGTTTCAGTAGTACTGAAATTTAAGGATACAGTTGTGAACTGAAGGTCTCTTGTTCTGTAATTTGGGTCAATGAATTTAATGTAAGAATTACCTATGAACTTTGCAGTTGAAAATGAAATTTTGTTTTCACAGTACCTTCCCACCCAACCTAAAGTACACAGACAACTGTAAGAAAATGATTGGTTAGGTATACATAGAGATTGGTGTTGACAAAGATTATTCAAACAATACACAGACTGGTTACATGTATTTCCAGCCCAATGTGGTGAACATCTGCAAGAAAAGGTTGTACCATTAACTATGCATTCGCCCCCATTTCTGCAAATGTTATACCCACAAGCTGTCCCATCACAGTCACCCACATTAGAGCCATCTTTTGCCCCTAATTCAGTTAGCTGCAATTCTTGATTATTTATAATAACTTCTCGAATGCAACCTTGAAAACCCACAGGTTCACTTGCTATGGCCATGGGATTTACAAGATGTAAATATGATACTCCTCCAACATAGAAGTCTGTATTCGTATCCAGATACCTCATTTTAGCAGAGGCTTTTTCTGTTACATTTATTCCATCCAGGTCCAAGTAGCCTTGAGCACCAATGCGTCCTGCTTTAATCACATGCCAAGTGCTTCCATTAATAGTTACTTTTTGGAGACTTTCCAGAATGAGAGTTCTGTCACCAAGGTTATAGCGAAGCTGAACAAAACCGTTTATTAGGGAGATACATAAAAAGTCACCTGTAAAGAAAAAGATTTAATAATTTCACTAGTTTCATTAATGACTTTATTTTTGTGGCCAATTAGACCAAGGTTTGGTTGGGGGCGGGTGGAGGAGTTAGCATAGAGAATTTTAATTACTGAGTTGATGAATTGCACTTAATTGAATTTTTTTCTTAAATGATTTAATTGAAGCAAAAGTGCAAAAAAATAAGTAACTTGAATGTTTTATTCCAAATCATTGGTCCTGTTTTTGATCGGATATTGGGGAGGTAGGCAAGGGAATGGGAATGAGAGAAGTTCATAGTGGTACTATCAAAACTAATAGTATATGCTCTACGAACAGTTTCTCTTCCAGTTCTGCCTACGAGTTCATGGATCCCAAGTTGGAGATTTTCACTTGTGTGTTTTATTTATTTTTTAATATTTGTTTTTTATTTGTATATAATACATTTATTTTGTTTATTTTTATGTGGTGCTGAGGATCGAACTCAGGGCCTCACACATGCTATGTGAGCGCTCTACTGCTGAGCCACAAGCCCAGCCCCCTCCACTTGTGTGTTTTAAAGGTATCTCAAGCTCCCAAGTTTATACTGATTTGTGGATTTCCTTCCATAAACCTGGCCTCTTCCAGTCTTCCCGAGTTCAGTGAGTCACTCCTCCCTCATTCATTTAATTCTTGAAGCTAAGCCTCAAAAACCTCCACTTTTTTCTTTTCCAATTGATTGTCTTATCTATACTAAAGCTAAAGTGATATTTTCAAATGATTGTTAGGTCATCTTTTAATGCTGCTATTGAGAGAGATGCCAAAACTCTTCAACTTAATCTGCAGTTTCCCATTCTCTACTCTTCCACACTCCACTTCAACAACGACCTTGTTAGAGGTTCCATCCTTCTGCATTGGAGCTTTGTGCATATTTTCTTGGAACACTTCTCCACCCTAGCCCATCTCATCAGGAAACTCATCCCTCAGCTCTCAGATCAAATACCAATTCCTCAGAGAAGTCTTCCTGCATTTCCTGGAGTTGGTCAGGTCCCACTAGCCCTCCAGTGCTTTTTCCCTCCTTCATAACACTTCCTTCATTTTATAATTACATCTGAACAAATATGATCTAGCATCTGAAAGTGCAGGGAGATATGCAGAGAAAAAGTAAAAACATCTCTACACACATGGGAAAGAACATAGTTCTTCAATGTAAGATGGCTTCAGGAGTAGCTAAGTGGTTTACATACGAAGCCATACAGAAACCTCTCCCCAAATGTTCTCCTCTAGCATTCTCACACTCCCTTACTTTTCTAAACCAGGAATATTTGACACTACGCTAGTCTTCTTCCCTCTTCCTCTGGAGCGTCCTACTGCTTCATCTCCCTTCCCAAATTAGTGTCCTTACATTCCATTCTCCCTTCTAGGCTACACCAGACCATTCTAGAATGGTTGAAAGACTTGGCAATTCTACAGTTTTACACCTATCACACTACATATAATTCTCTTCCTTTGATCATTTTTCTCAGAATTTTTGAGTATTCAATCTTCTATGTCATTACATATGTGATGATTTGATTAATAGCTGCTCCATCCACCAGCTTCTAGGTTTTGTAAGAACAGGATCTGTGAATTTGGACCAGCACTTTAGTACCAAACACATAAGTAGATGCTGATGAATAACTGGAATAAGGAGATATATCTTTGTAGGGTTATGGGGTGAGATGGTTGAGAATACTTCTTACACTAATTTGATTTAAAAGAGAAGTGTGTTTTTCCTGTAATATGAAAAGTTTCTAAAGTTTCTCAGCAAAGGAAGTTTATTTAAAAAATTTGAACTTGGAAAAACATATTAAGAAAAAAGAAAAGCAACATAACAAACATAGCTTATATTAAAAACCCTACACACTGGATTATTTAATGATTCAAAACCCAGGAAACTAAAACAATGAAACAGTTGGTATTAAAGGGAAAAATGTTATACACCTTGAATATGCTTTGTGGTTTGCAAGTGAACACAATTGTGGAAGAATTTTCTTTCTACTTGTGGTAGTAAATCCTATAGTAAAAAGCTATTTTTTACTATAATAAAAATATCTTAATGTGATTAGGAAATCTATAGTATCACCTGCCAAGTTGCCCATGTGTTCTGCCATTGCCTGTACCCCATCCTGTGCCACCCCCAGAAACCTAATGTATGAAGAGACTTCAGAAACAGCATACTGGAGAAATTTAGTATACTTTTTCTCTAGAAAAGGAAGTCAAAGATAAATATGTTATTTAACTATTTGAATATATTTACATAAATATATTTAACACTGTGGATGACTAGACTTTAAAAAAACACATTTGGAAGAATTATATCAAGATGAATTCAGATGATTGATTGGTTCTTAACAAAATATTGATAATTTTATATATAAAAAATCATTTTGAGTGTTAAATTTTTAACATACAGATGAATAGAAACCATTGTCTTATCTCTTTAAGATATCTTTTCCAAAATCTTCGATCAATACAAAATTATTTTATTGAAATAGGCTAATTAAAAATGTTTTTACATACTATTTGAGACTGCTCAAATTATTAACCTCTAGAGACACAGGAAACTTGTTAATTGTGAATTTAAGTGTTCTACCTATGAAAACCCAATTGATCACTGATGTTGAAATTTGTGAGTTTTGACATTGTTTATTAACTATTTTACTAACTTTTAGCAGAGGCTTGACTATGAAGGCTTGGTTAATGTTTATATCAAACATAGCTTTTTGAAAATATAGAAAGTACAGGACAATCAGTTATATCTTATGTACTTGAATAAATGAAACATTCTAAAATAATGACACATTAAAGTAATTTTATACAAAAATATTCTAAAATATGCTACTTGATTGCTAAAAAATAAGCTTATGTCTTTGATAATTATTTTTAAGTTAATCTAAGAATGTAAAATTTAGATTTGGGGAGGGGGTGTCCCAGGGATTAAAACCAGGGTACTTAACAACTCAGGACCCAGAGCAATGAAGTCAGCAGTCTGTGGACTAAGACCTCTGAAATTGTGAGCACCAAATAAACTTTTCCTCCTGTAAAATTGATCTGTCAGATCTGTTGATCACAGCAGCAAAGCTGACTAAAACACAAAACTTGATATTCTTATGTCAAAACGGACAAAATATGCATATAAAAATATGATAAATTCCAGAAAGATTCGTCTTCATTTATAGCTCTAAAAATTCTCTTTAGATCATTCCTTTATCCAAACAATAAATCTAGGATTTTATGTTCCAAAGTCATTCATTGCTCTGGGCCCTAAGTGAGGTAGACCATCATGGTGGAAGGGTGTGATGGATGAAAGCCACTCAGGACATGGCACCAGAAGAAGTGACTCCACCTGATAAAATATATATCCCAAAAGCATGTCCCCCCATGACCCACCTCCTCCAGGTACACACTTCAGTTACCACTTAGTAATCCCTATCAGAGGATTAACATATGGATTAGGCTGATTCTCTCATAACCCAATCATTCCACCTCTAACTTTCTTGCATTTTCTCACACATGAGTTTTGTGGAGACACCTAATATTGGAACCATAACACATGACTTAAACTTTTATTTTATGAGATTTTTATAAAATTGAGCATATACTATATATTTGGATTTTTCTAGCTTTAATTTCCCAAAATTTCTTGCTATTTTATTAGCATTTATATTTGGGGGGAAGCTGGATTTGTAAGCAGTGACAATCAAACATAAACATCAAGTGTTTACATATTTTACAGAGTAACTTAAAAATTAGACAGCATTATCACATATTATTTAATAGGCTCTTTGAAATTTACTAGAATTTTAAATTTTTTCTGCAAAGATTCTGTCAACCTTACCTGACTGTGCTTTTAAGTGTTGTGCAGCATAAAATAGGATGCCATCTGCAGCAAGAGGCTGAAACTGCAATTTAATATGTGTTTTTTTTCGAATGGGAAAAGAAGCAAAAGACATCCAGGATAACTCATTACTTCTGAAAGATGGATCACTTATAGATAAAGCTAAAAGAAAAAAGACAGAACTCTTAGAAAATTTTTTAATTTAAAAGTGGAATGTAGGTGAATACATTGAAGCTTGGTAAGTTTGTGAGTCTGCCCTGCTCCACTAATTTTGGACTTTTGTAATGGGGCCAATTATTGAAAAGTCTTCTACAACTCTAGTAACTGCCCCCTTTGGCTGGCATACTGTGGCATAAATCTGATCTAGATTGTATTATAGAGAGGCATCATATGCATAACTTAGATTCTAGGAAATGTCAAGAAGATGTCTCAATTAGTGAAAGAAGGGATCTCTATATAAATTATAGTCTTCAGTTTCTATGCTTCTGACTCAAATGTAGAGTATAAACAAGTCAAGATACATTTTTAAGTGGCAGTAGGAATGGATATAAAAATCAGTTTTCTTGATGATTATTTAAGTCCTGGTCCCTTTAGAAAGTGCTCATTCTTAGGTCTGTACCTCATTGTTAAGCAAGAGAAAATTCATTTCAATATTAGAATCATTAAACAGATTTACAGTTACTGAAATATAGTTGCTTCTGTGTATAACCAGATGGGAATTATGAGAGGGAGAAAGGAAGTTAGGCACATTTGGTAGTTTTTACCTCTACATAATTTAATAGTCCTTCCTTGCCACAGTGTTTCTTTAGAGTGTGCCATGGTTCATGACATGACTTCAGCCATTGTTTTAGATATTTAGCTATTCCCTTCTTTGGACTAAGCTTTTGCTAACTGTCGTTTTTTTCAGTTTTAGACTGACAGGCAACTGGTAGGTGTTTATCTAGGAGGTTGTTGATATTTATTGATTTTTAGGCAACTGTATTTATTCATTTTGACTTAATTGCACTTGAGAATCACCTGGTGCTGTTGCTAATTGCACATGAGAATCACATGGGGGTGTTGGCATGTAAAGCCTTATATGTCACTTGTACAGGTCCTGATGCATTAGAGTTGGAATGGAATGGAGGGAGTATATATATTCTTAATAAACACCCGAGAGGTTGTTTATTTTTATTATTTTTTAGTTGTAGATGAACACAACAACTTTATTTTTATGTGGTGTTTAGGATCAAACCAAGTTCCTCACACAGGCCAGGTAAGCACTTCACCACTAATCTACAACGCCACCCCCCACTCCAGGCATTTCTTGGACCATATTTTCATAAACACTGACTTAAAATAGATTTAAAAAATACAAGGATAGTTTAAAAAGTGGGCATCCTTTTGAAATTATTTTGTATTACTACAGTAAAAGGTTTATTGTAAAACATTCAAACTATATAGAACATTTATATAAAGCAAATAAAAAAGTGAAATTTTATTTTTCTTACTCCACTCTTACCACAAGGAAGGAACCAGTGTTAACAATATATATAGCCAGACTTTTTTTGGTGCACATACATTTAATGTTTTTGCATATCTAGTACCTGGTTTATATTATATAAATAAGACCATATTATACATAAACTCTTCATAATAAGCTTTTTAAATTCAATAATCCATCTTCAGGAAAATGATGTTAGCATATTTTGCATACTGCTTTTTTTAAAAATAGTTGCATAGTATTTTAAAATAGATCATTTTTTTTTAGAGCAGTCTAATATGGAGTTACCCTGATTGTGTATACAAATACAAGGTTAGGAAAGTTATGACCAACTAATTCTACTCCGTTTCCTTTCTGATTGAACCCAGGGCCTTGCACATACTAGGCAAGCACTCTACCACTGAGCTATACTACCAGTTTTTTAAAAAAATTTTTAAACAGGCTCTTGCTAGCTAGGTTGCCCTGGTTAGCCCTGAACTTGCGATCCTTCTGCCTCAGTTTCCGTGTAGCTGGAACTACAGGTGTATACCACCATGTCTGGCAGATTGGCTTCTTTCACTTAGTAATATGCTCTTAAGTTTCTTTCATGTCTTTTCACGACTTAGTATTACATTTGTTTTTAGTGCTGAATGATAAGCTATTGTTTGGATGCACCAGCGTGTGTTCACTGGTGAATGAGGTATATAGTGGTTGCTACTGTTTTGATAATTATGAATAAAACTGCTAAAAATATGCATCCATAAATTTTTGTGTAGACACTAGTTTTCAACAGATTTGGGTAAATATTAAAGAACACACAATTGCTGTATCATATAGTAAGAGTATGTTTAGTTTTATAAGAAACTTCCCAATTGTTTTTCCAAATGTCTGAACCATTTTTTCAGTCCTATCAGTAAGGGACGAAATTTCCTCATGCTCAACATTCTTGTCAGCTTTTGGTGTTGTCAATGTTTTGGATTTAGGCATTCTAAAAAGTGTCTCACAGTGGCATTTTCTTGTTTTAATTTGCAATTCCCTAATGACATATGGTGATAAACATCTTTATATGCTTATTTACTATCTAGATATCTTTTCTCATAAGTGTCTGTGCAGATCTTCTAATTTTTTTTTTTTAGTTTTTCATTTTCTTATTGTGTTTTAAAAGTTCTTCATGTATTCTGGGTCCTAATCCTTTTTTGATTTTTTACAAGAATGTACTCTTATCTGTCATTTTTCTTTGATGTTTTCAATAGTATGTTTTGTTATTCAAAATTTTTAATTTTTTATTTAATTTATGGTTTATACTTATATCTTATTTTTAAAAGGCTTCTTTGGCCAACAGTTTTATATAAATATGTATTTTTTTACCATATTGCTATATTGTAAATTTTTATATTTCATGTACATAGGCCTTTAACTTATGTGGATCCTAGTGAACAGTCTGAGGTAGGGATCAAGCTTTGTTTTATAATCAGATAGCTAATTGTTTTAGTTAGATTTTCTTTGACCAAAACAGCTGACAAGAACAACTTAGAGGAAGACAGGTTTATTTGGGGCTCATAGTTTCAGCAGTTTCAATCCACAGATGGCCAACTTTATTGCTCAGGGCCCAAGATGAGGCAGCACATCATGGGGGATGGGCTCAATGGAGCTGTTCAGTTCATGGAGAGGTCAGGAAACAAAAGTGGGGTGGGAAGAGGCCTTGGGGCAGATGCATCCTTCAAAGGCACATCCTCAGTTACAACATCCTCCAGCCATACAATACTTGCCCACAGTTACCACCAAGTCAGTCCATTCAAACAAGGATGGACCAATTAAGTTTCAACTCTCATAATCCAATCCTTTCACCTCTGAACATTCCCACATTAATAGAAGCTTTTTTGAGGACATCTTATATCCAAACCATAACACTAATATTTTATAATAATGAATTGTTTGTCTTTTTGTCTATAATTGTTATCTGTCTTTAACATCTTATCAGTAGCATTCATTTTCTTTACCTTCTTCCTTTTGAGAGTTTGTGAGAAATACAGATCAGAATAAAGAATGTAGATGATATCTGCCTGGCTTTACTACTTTACCTTGGCTGGATTGAATATCTGGGGCATGGTCTCTGGAATGGAATAGACCAGTCAAGAGCAGCATGAGAGGGTCCCTTGTTTCCAAGCAGGGAAGGCCTGGGATGGTGCCTCAGAAGTAGGTTTCTGCTAAAATCACTGATGTTACTGGGTAAGTACAAGAGCTAAGAAATACTGTACACACATGAACTCATGAAACAACTGACTTATCCAGTCCTTTTCCAAAGAAGTAATGCTTTTGAAATAATGTATAATGATCTTTGAATTAAAAAAATATATAGTGGAAAAAATAAGAAAAAGGAATGGATTTTATTTGTAGCTCTGACATTGTATGTTTTAGGAAATTCTCAGTGCATACTCATTTCTTTATATTCTGAGAAAGACTTCAACACTACTAGCTTATTATTTAATTAAGTAACCTTGGGATAATTAATTTTCTAATAATTATACACATTTAACATATTGGTACAGGATATTATTTCAAAAAGAAGAAGTTTTTCTTATTTGCCTGGCTTCAAGGATAAAATTGAACAGGAAAAATGACTAAATTCTGTGAGATTGAGATGTTTCTTTTGTGAATTAAAAAAAAAAAAAGAAAATCAAGAAGAATTGAATGCAGTAATTGAGAAATAACCAATTATTTATCATATGCACACCAACTCCTGAAAATAATCATTTGTGGTGTAAACATTCCATATGTCTTTTGTTTCATTTGTTTGTTTGTTTGTTCTGAGATGGGGTCTCTCTATGTTGCCCAGGCTGGTCTCAAACTTCTGGGTTCAAGAAATCCTCCTGCCTCAGCCTCCTGAGTTGCTAGAACTATGAGTTTCTATGTCCAGCTAAGGGCACAGGTATTTTGAAAACATAAATTAATACTTCCCAGTAGGTTATCAGGAGGATCTCCATCTTCTATACTTACAAACCATTGACAGCTCTTTCTAGCCCACCACAGGCAAAGATTCCCAAGTAGAATTAAAGAATTTAGACTACCTGACAGGAATATAACAACAAAACAAAACAAAAAATCCTTTTTATCTTTGCTTGTGGAAATAGTAAACCCAACACATATATATTAGATGTTGATACATAAAGAGGGAAAGAGAAATGAGTGTATGTATGTGGAGTTAGGAAAGACCATAGTAGGAAGGTGATATTATAAATTAAACACCTCAAGGAGGTAAAGGATTGATCCAGTGGAAAGAGGAAATTACAAGTGCAAAGGCCCTTGGTGCAGTAGGGTTCCTATACAAATCAAGGAACAGGAAGGAGGGCATTGTTGCTGTTGGGATATTAAAGAAAGGGAGAATTTTAACAGAATTATTCCAATTGAGTGAGAAGTTGGTAGCTGATTTCACAGGGAGTCCTGGAGAGGGAATGACCCCACAGAGTAATTTAATTGAGGTATGTCTTCTTCCCTCCATCTCCACATCATGTAGTCATAGGACTCAGGCTACCACAGAGGAGGAGGCCTAAGCTTGAGCAAGTCTGAGGAGGGACTTAGCTTTGGGTTCTCTTAAGGTAATATTTCCAACAGTAAAGGAGCAAGTGTCACCATTCTTTTTTTTTTTTTTTTTTAATAATGGGATTGAACTCAGGGGCATTTGACCTCTGAGCTAC